TTCTTAGGATACACACTACAGAATTYCCTGCAGAAGAGTATTGGGGAATTTATGGAATTCTGTYTTCTGCAAAGCAGAGATCCAGTAGGAGTTGTAGGGAGCACAGTCTGGCATCTGATAGGGACAACCAATAACTTGATGTAGGATGTAATTTATTCCCATGTAGAGAAGAAWATMAGGGAGGATGGGGAAATGAGGAGAAACAACACTGGTGGTCCATAGACAGAAAYGGAAACAGTTGATATAGGAAAAACATTAAAAAGAAATATTATCTCAAGAATTTATTTCAGCCTGAATAGGGTCAGGATTACTGTTTACATGCCTGTGAAAGAAACACCATGTCTAACCAGATTTAAGTGTTTAAATTTAAAATTGRTAGTATAAAGCACCATTTACCCATCAGTATTTGGTATTGACTGGACAAGAAATATCTGCAGAGATCTGCATTTCTTCTGCCATGCTTCAGCTTTAAAATTCTGACTTTGAAGCTGGTTTTGCACCATGCCAGTAGCTCTCTATTTACACTCCRTTTCTGGGTTCTAGACTGTGACTTTCTGTCTGGTTTTGAGACAGACACCGAAATTGATGCTTGTGATTACAATCTACTATTGTACAGTGTACACATTTTACCATCCATAAATATATATATGATTGCATATGACACAAAATCAGAGAATGGCTTGGAGTGGAAGGGACCCCAAAGGACCCTTTGAGGGATGGGGCATCCGCAGCTTRAGAGGTTTGAAGATGAGCCATCATTGTGCCCAGGTRGCCAAGAAGGCCAATGGCACCTGGCCACTTGTTGCTACACAGACTCATTATGCKGATATACAAAATTTCAGAGTGCTGAGAAGGAGGCACTGTAGATGTGAAAAGAGGAATATGAAACTAAGAGACAGGGACTGAAACCATGGCAAGGTTGYTGAATTTGCTGAATTTGCACATCCTTGAATCACAAAATCACAAGATTATTTGGGTTGGGARAGATCTTAAAGCCATCTACTTTAAACCCCCTGCCATGCACAGGGACAGGTTCCACTAGACCRGGTTGCTCAGAGCCCCATCCAGCCTGGCCTTGAACACTTTGAGGGATGGGACAYCCACAGCTTCTCTGGGCAGCCTGGGCCAGGGTCTCACCACCCTCATCATATAAATATCCTGTCAATTGTATCATTGAAATTTACCTTCTCTAGGCTTTAAAGGCCAAATAAAAAGTCTGTAGGGATACATKCAGCACTCCAGGTTGGATCTCACCTCAGTGAATGACAAGGGGAGAATCCCCTGCCCTGCCCGGCTGACCACGCTTCGTGCAGCCCAGGATACAGTTGGATTTCCAGCCTGTGAGCTCACCTTGCTGGGTCTTGTCTGGTTTTTCACCAGCAGTGTCCCCTGCTCCTTCTCAGCAGGACTGCTGTGAGCAGCAGCTTGAAATTGAAACCCCTCGAGGTTCCTTCCAGCCCAAATGCTTCCAGGAGTCCATACAGTRCCCATGGCCTGTCCTAGGGACTGCTCCCCATCCCACAGAGAGGAGTGCAAACCTACAGAACAGCAAAGGAAAKGTTCAAGGAGGGATATGGATGGGAATGTTTCAGGAAATTTGCATTTGCTGTTGCAAAGGTTTGTTTTGGTTTGGTTTGGTTTTAGTCCAAGACTGAATACAAACAGGGAAGTGTTGGGTCCAAAAATCTACCAAAGGATTCCTGAAAGTTTTTCAGTAACAGGAGGATGAAATAAAGGTGGAGAGGGACTTTGACCCTTCAATAGAGGGGATTACATTTGACAAGAGAGCAGCTGAGAGCCTGTGGAGGAATGGGCAGGGCAGTCTGACACTGCAGAAATGGAATTTATAAAGGTCCAACAAATAAACTTTTAGTCGTTGTACACATGACTTGACAATGACATTTTATCATTGAAATTGAACAAAGGATGAAATGAGGCAGAAAGTGACAAAGGTTTTTAAATCTTGCTTAGAATTACTGACAGAAAGATTTAGTCTGGAATGCACCACCCTAGCCCAAGGCCATGTCCGCAGCAGAGCTACCTCCAAACATGATCCGGTTACTTATGATCATCCTCAAGTGATTTCTGAACAACTGCAAGGATGGAGATTCCCCAGGGTCTCTGGCCCTTCTGTCGGTGCCAATAATCCCTTGGARTTATATTTTATTTCCTTATTTTCAGTCAGAGTTTCCCTCTTTCCAGTTAAGACTCTTTCCAGATGTTATTTTGCCATGCCCCTCTGAAAATAATTGTGCTGGTATACAAAATTTCAGAGTACAGAGAAGGAAGTACTGTAGATGTGAAAAGAGGAATACGAAACTAAGAGACAGGGACTGAAACCATGGCAAGGTTGCTGAACTTGTCTTCTCCAGGCTGAGCAGGACCAGGCCCCTCAGGCTCTCCTGGTACATGGGATACTCCAGTGCCATCATGTGGCCCGTGTGGGACTCTCACCAATTCATTTATCGTTGTCATTTATCATTGTTGTCATTTATCTTTTAATGGGGCATCTGAAACACATGCAGCATCCCAGGTGTGGCCTCAGTTCAGAGGAGATGGGAATAAACTCTTGCCCTTTTCTGCTCGCCCAGTTCTCATGCTGTGCAGCATGCGACTGCCCTTCAGCTTCTTATCCACCAACAGAAAGAGGCCATTCTGACTCAAYTGAAAGTGATTTCTCACTGGTTGTACATACTAAAGGTTGTCATGCTTGTGGTAGGGTAAACCCTTCAGAGAAGAGTGACTACAACAACTACTATTCCAAATGATTCAAGAAAAGGAGTAAGTTGGGTTGAAAAGAACCAAAACAGGAGAATACTTTGCTCAGAGACTACAAGAAGTTGGAGTTARGTGACCAGGATGGTTTTCTGATTCCTCAGAGCATGCTCCGAAGAGTTTAGATGTGTGAATCAAGTGAGTGAACTCTGTGAGTGTGAGGGCAAGTGGCTGAAATCATCAGGAAACCAAGGATGCCCRAGCTCCCTCAGTGTTGAGTAACCTGATCAGGTTTGGAGGTAGCTCTGTTGTGAAYATGMCCTTGGATTAGGGAGGTCCCTTCTAAATCTTYCTGTCAGTAATGCAAAGGAAGATTTAAAAACCTTTGTCACTTTCTGCCTCATTTCATCCTTTGTTCAATTTCTATAATAAAGTGTCATCATCAAGTCATAGGTACAATAACTTGGGGATTACATTTTGGATATTTATAAATTCCATTTCCGCAATGTCAGACTTACCTGCTCATTCCTCCACAGATTCTCAACTGCTTTCTCATAAAATTTAATCYCCACTATTGAAGGGTCAAAGTCCTTCTCCACCTTTCCTTCATCCTCCTATTACTGAAAAACTTTCAAGAATCCTTTGSTAGATTTTTGGACCCAACACTTMCCCATTTGTAKTCCRTCTTGGATTTTWAAAAAAATCTGCAATAGCAAATTGAAATTTCCTGAAACATTCCCATCCATATCCCTCCTTGAACCTTTCCTTTGCTGTTCTGTAGGATTGCACTCCTCTCTGGGGATGGGGAGCTGTGCCTAGGACAGGCCATGGGCAGTGTATGGACTCCTGGAAGCATTTGGGCTGGAAGGAACCTCGAGGGGTTTCAATTTCAAGCTGCTGCTCACAGCAGGATGGAGAATGGGGAGATTGTCCCATGCTGGTTATGAAGCCAGGGCAGAGAAAGCTGTGTGGAATAGGAAGGTTTGTAACTCTGCAGCTGTGGGAATATTCCCTGCAAGGGGCTGAGGGAATGGGAAGCATTGGGAAAGTGCCCATAGCTGGGTGTGTGGGTGAGAATGAGAGCAGRGAGGCTGCAGGAGGGCACGGGGAGCTGAGAGAGGCAGAGATTGTCACCACATGGGGGACAGCTCCAGCTGGTCATGGCAGCCACCAACACACACACACACACAGACAAAATTATCCTCAGGACCATCCAGAGGGACCTTGGCAGCCTTCAGGACCGGCATCACGTGGAGCTGGTGAGGTTCAGACAGGCCAAGTGCAGGTCCTGTCTGACCARCCCAGTGACCAGTGCCAGGAAATTGTGGCAAGCAGGGACGTCAGCACAGAGGGAGATGAGCACTGCAGGGCAGAGCTACCAGGTGACAGTGGTGACAGTGCACAGCTCGGGGYGTGCAGCTGTCATTAGACAGTGATGGAGGAGGGCTGAGACTCTGCCCTTGCAGGTGAATCTGCACATGGCAAAACAGATTGTGGAATACCTTGTCATTCCTCATCCCTTATCAAGATACTACATGTTTAAAAAATAGGACAGTTTTACCATGAGGATTAATTAATTCAAATTAATGAAAACTTTCTTCTTGATTATGTGATTAAGGGCAGGWGAAGATGACATCATCACTACAATCACTGCCTTGAGATACAACCAAGTGTGTGATAGATAGGTTCARTCTGCAGGTCAGAGTTTGGCCAGGATCAGCATAATCTACATGCTCACAAAGACTTTCTGAGTCAGGCCTGAACCCACAGTTACTGAGTGGTGAAACTGAAAGGAGACGAAATTCTCCGTAAGACCTACAGGAAATATGTTTGCAAGTGACTGCATGAACCATTCTCTGGGTACACAGAGACATCTCACCAGGAAAGGGCAATATTTATCTATTCTAGAAATACATAAAACAGACGCACCACTGATTGCAAAAGATTCTTTATTGGCACCAATGCAAAATGGATTATAGAAAATGGCAGAGGTCACAGCACCACAAGGGCATCGTAAAGCAAATGACAAAGGGGTGGTGATGGCTCTGTACTCGCATTTTCTGTYGCACTTGGCAACAGCGACAACATGCAATGCTTCTGCATTCCACAGGACTGTGGAATGCCAGCTGAGGGTGCATTGGGTTTCACACCCCTGGCTTGGACATCCTGACATATGTGACGTGTGACGATTCTTGCATTCGTGGCGTGGGTGAGGAGTGCAAGGCAGGACAGGGAAGCACAGATCTGCAGCGCAGCACAGCAGAGAGCTCTCASRYTYGGTGGTCCTTGACACTGGTGAGGAGGCAGCACGAACAGAGGCAGAGATCAAGGTCTCAAATTTCTTGCTGGAGTTGCATCTTTCCTCAGCAGATTTGCATTCTAGCASCCACAGCCAGGGCGAAGGGGACGCAGGAAKGAGAGCTTGTCGTTGAASTTGATTGCCTTGTAATTTGGMAGGTKTTCATGTTCTCGTGCAATGTACTGAATTCCACYTCCATCRCTGTGCTCACACAGCAGCCAGGCACCTCTCTGGACTTTGTGAGAGGACATGATGTCATTGTCATGACCTGCACCCAGGTTGGTTGCTTCTTTTATTACTCGGGCCTTCCCTTGATAATTAATATGTTCATAGAGAGTGATCTGGGGATTGTGCAGATTTTCAGTGATCAGCTGCAGAGAGCTGATTTTATCATTCATATCTTTACCAACAAAGTTATGTTCACCCTCCTCAAATACCAGAAATCGGCCTCCATAATTTATGTGCTCATAAGCCACCCAGGGCTGCCCAATTACTTTCACTGAGGACACAATGTCATTCCAATCTACATCTTTTAGATTGGAAATGTTAGTGGTGAATTCTTTGGACAAACCCTGGAAGTTGGCATGCTCATAAATGATGATTTTYCCCATCTCAGTAGGATGTCAGTAGTTYGAATTTCTTCTTCTAGGAGCTGGATAGCAGTCTGTATGAAAGGAAGACAGAAAACAAGCAATGCTTGTAAGAAACCTTTACACACCAGACACAAAATGATGGAGAATGTGAGGGAGAAAAGGAAAAGCAGAATATTTTTAGCAGAGGTTAAACATAGCAGCAGCTGGAAAGGAGTGAGGGCATGACATAGTAATTTTCATTTGGAAGGAAGCACAAAATGAGGTATGTACCTACAACGATCCAGTTTTAATTACTGTGTGTGTTGGTTTAGAGATATCCACAAGAGTAAGTTGTGAAATACTCTCACATTCACTCCTCACAATTGTGTGTCACTGGCCCCCTCCACCCCCTCCCTTGCTAAGCTTTGTTTCTCCTGCAGCAGCCTCTCCCCAGCCCCTGCATGGTGGGTTCAGTCTCTGCCCATGCACTCAGCAGACCCTCCCGTCCGTGCTGCTCCTCTCATCCCAACACTAAAGCCTCCTTCCCTTCCCCTGCATTCCACAGCAGCTGCCCCAGAACCCGTTGCAGTTCTCCTGCACAAAGTGTGTCTCACCTTGCTGTCAGCTGCAGGGCTGGGCAGAGCTGAGGGCGATTCCTCCAGTGCAGGGCTGCAGTTTGGGGAAGGTGTCTCACCTGCCCCCATTTATACTGGCTCTGGAGTCTTGTGCAAACACCCTGTTCCAAGGAACTAGGTGTCAGTATCAGGCACAGGGATCTAAACTTGTTAAATTTTTTAATTTTAGTTTCCCTGTTCGTACAACCTCATTGTTCTGGTTCAAAGATCATTGAAGTGTGAGCAGCTTAAATCTTAGAGCTTGACTTCATGTTTTTCCTTCTTCAGAAGCCATTTGAAACACAGTAATTGTAAACATCAATTGGAGCAACCCCAGCTCCCTCAGTCCTCCTCATCAGACCAGTTCTCCAGACCCTTCAACAATAATTTCTGTTCTCTGGACTCRCTCCAGCTCCTCAATGTCTTTCTTGCAGTGAGGRGTRCAGAATTGGACACAGGATTCCAGGTGTGGCCTCAGCAGGGCTGARTACAGGGRGACAATGCCTGCCCTGGTCCTGCTGGACACGCTATTGCTGGTCCAGGCCAGGTGCCACCGGCCTTCTYGGCCACCTGGGCACAGCTGGCTCGTGCTCAGTTGCTGTTGACCACTGCATGGGTTTTTTTGTGACAGCAGGGCAGGACTCAGCCCTTGGCTCAGTTGAATTTCACCTCATCGGCCTCAGCCCACTGATCCCTCTGCAGAGCCTTCCCACCCTCCAGCACATCAACACCCATGCCCGAATTGGTGTTGCCTCCACACCAGCTGTGAGGGGATATCCAAAAGGGGGCATCCACATCTTCTCTAGAAAACCTTGTCCAGTGCCTCACCAGTCACAAAATGAAKAATTTCTTCCTAATATCTAACCTAAACCTACATTCTTTCAGCTTGAAAGGCCATGGTAAAAACTCTCTCTCTGCTTTTCTTATAAGCCCCCTTTGTATTTTGAAATGCCTCAATGCTCCCAGAAGCATTGTCTTCTCTAGGCTGAACAAATTCAAGTACCTTTGCCTTTCTTTGCAGGAGGTTCTCCAGCCCTCTGACCATTTTCATGGCCCCCCTCTAGACTTGCTGCAACAGATCTGTGTCTCTCTTGTTCAGAAAACCCCACAGTTGTGTGCAGTGCTCCAGGTRGAGTCTCACCACAGCAGATTAGAAGGGAAGAGCCACCTCCCTTGTTCTGCTGACTACATTTGTCCAGGATACAGCTGGCTTTCTAGGCRGCAAGAGCACATTGTCAGGTCACCTTGTTTTTCATCCACCACTGTGCTCAGTTCCTTCTCCACATGGCTGCCCTCAGCCCTTTCATTCCTCAGCTTACACTGCTTCTGGTGATTCCTCTGACACCCCCTTGCGGGGTGTTGCACTCAGCCTTACTGAAATTTATGGGCTTCACATTGGGCCATTTCTCAGGCTTCTCAAGATCCTTCTGAACAGTCCCTTCCCTCCAGCACAACAATGCACCACTCAGCTGGGTGTCATCTGCAAACCTGCTGAGGGCACACCTGATCYCATGTTTATGACATCAAAGAATATATTTAATAGCACTGCTGCCAGTATGGACCCTTGGGAGTCACCACTTGTTGTTCGTGGTTTCCACYGACCCTGATAAGGTTTATCCAGGCATTAATGTGCCAGCAGCAGAGCACTACTGCTCCAAGAGATGGTGCTTCCTCAAGGGACAAGAGGTCCATAACGATTTCTTATCTTTCATCAGGTTAWTCACCTGCTCACTTAACCATTGACTTTATCAGTTAGGATGATTCAGCAAGGAGGTGTGTTAATGATCAATTAACTCAAATTACTTCCTGCTTGGTATCTCTTCCTGTGTTTGTGTTTGTAGGCACATGAAGGACAGGGAAGTGATTTGAGACAGCCAGCACAGCTTCAGCAAAGGGAAGTTCTGTCTGAGCAACCTAGTGGCCTTCTGTGATGGAGAGACTCCTTCAGGAGACAAGAGATGGGCTACAGACGTCAGCTACAGATGTYATTACTGCAAGGCCTTTGACACGGTCCCTCACAACATCCTTCTGTCTAAATTGGAAACATATAGATGTGATGGGGAGGCTGYTCAGTGCATTGGACTCTGGGACCTTATAAATGAGAAAACCAAGTTTGCTCCAAGGAGGGGAACTCCTTATAGGAGCAACCAGCTGCACACATTTCACTGTGTCGCAGTTATTTTCCTGATGACTTCTACAGATCTCTGAAGGAAAGTCTCTCATTAATGTTTTTGTCAGCAGCATGCTTTGCATTTTTTGAAATTTGATTTACRAGGATGGAGAATCTCATTTAAGCTTTGTCATAATATTGCTCTGATTAAGCCAGAGTCAATAACACATGGCCAAGAAAACACAGCAGCATAAGGAGGAGGAATATTCTGACAAAGAAAAGCGAGAAGAAATTAAAGGCAGCATCAGCAACTGAATTGAAAGTGGGGCAGCTGTGTTATTGGGTAAAGAGAAGATGTGTTTGAAGATGCATATGGGAAAAGAAAATGTTGCTTCAGCCCTGCTTCCCACAATGGCTTTTCAGTGTTGGATACATTAAAAGATGCTGTAAATTCATGCTGTGGGAATTCCAGTACCAGATGAAGTGAGCAGGGCAGAAAACCACAGTGAGAACTTGCTAGCTTGCAAACAGCAAGTCGGAGAATTCTGTACTTGAAAACAGCTTGAGCTTCCCCAAGTGAATATTAAATCATCCAGCAAAAAAAAAGACACAGATTGAGGCAYGTGCAGCAGAATATTCTGCCTGCTGTTTTCCCTCCACTCCTCTGAGGATGGGCTGCTCAGGTGATGGAGGAGCCACTACAGGTGAAGAGTCACCGTGGTTCAATAGCAAAGCTGATCCAAAGGAGTGGCACCAGAGCCCTAAAACATGGAAACAAAGGCATCATTAAGAAATAAGTGGTTAATGTGTAACATCACCTTTTTCTGGGCRTACAAGATCTGGCTTTAAGCCCAAGTGTTTTATTCCGTGTTTACCCAAACACGCCTGAACCTGTTTCTTCCAACACTTTTGATCAAGCCAAGGGAAGCTGAGTCAGTGTATTTATCACCTCTCTGTCACAGCCAGAGCRTCTGAGCTTTCTCCTGTAGACATCTTTAGGAATATCAGTAGTTACAAGTCTTCCTTACCCAGCATTCCTTTTAGATGTCCATTTGCACTGTGGATTAATAATCCCCTCTGTGAAGGTTTTTTTTTCTGAGTGTTGATTTTGCAAGCAGTCATTTTACTCTTTTTAATACCGTGTGTGGTYTAGCGGGATTTGGGAACTCCAGGCATTGTTTATCCCTGGTTTGACAGGCAGACTGAGGTGCCAGTGCTCTGGTCTTTCCTGAGCAAGAGTGTTGCACCATGTGCTTTTATAGAGATAAACCTCATGTGAAAAGTACAGTAGGGAATGCCAGGGTTGGTGAGGTGTCCTCCTGAGAGGTCTCTTAAAGTCYGCCATGAGGGTGAGGGGTGAGGATGAACCAGAGAATGTGGTTCCAAGGGCACTGCAATGTGAGCAGTGTAGAAACTGCCAGCTGGTCAGTGGTGCACTGCACCCCAAGGGCAACAGGCCACCACCTCAGAACCTCCAAAGTGAAGAAAATCCCCTCTGGCGACCAGGAGAGACAGACAAAAATGTCAACTGGCTAAAATCAGAGTACCAGCAGCTTTGGGAGGTAATGTAATCCTCTCTTTGCCCAAGAGGAAAACTCAGAGATATCTGCTTCAGAGACCTCCTGGCTGAAAGGAACTTCTCAGTTACGTATGCCAGGAAAATAAGAGAGCACCTTCTTTCCTCTCTTAAGAAATGGTGGTTTTCATGAAGGAAATATCATTAAAAGTATTTCCTAGGAAATATAATTGGAGACATCCGAAATAAGCTCTCTCCTATTAACAGTGYCTATGTAACATCATTATCGTGCAGAGATTCTGAAAGGGATCTCCCAGACACGACCAAGGCACTTCAATAGGACTTCAAAATAACTTCTTCCACAAATTGTTTTGGGCAGAAGGTGACATTTGCCAGTTGACTTACCACTATAAAAYGCATGTTCTAGAGTAAGGAGAATGATAGATGCTCTAGGAATTAAGTTTGGAAATCCCACCTGAAATTGGYTGCAAAGCAGTAAGAAGTGTCCCAAAACTCATGGGTTCTGAGCTATCCCCATCGCATCTGCCCACCTGGGCCAAGGAGAGGAGCAAAAGTGGCTGATATGTCAGCACAGCCTGCAGTCTTTGTTTCAAAGTGGACAAAGCCCAGCAGTTGATAGCACAGCCTGTTTCATGTGTGGATTGCACAGATTTTCAGGAATCAGCTGCAGAGAACAGWTCCTATCTTTCATCTTTTACTAACAAAGCTATGTTCTCCCTCCTCAAGCACCACTAACTGGTCTGCATAATTTGGCTGCTCATAAGTCAATGGAAATGGAAATAAATTTGTTCTTTGTGTTCTGGCCACCACTTTGTAATGGTCCCAGTTKTAGATGACACACTGGGGCTTCTGTAAGAGCATTGGGCAGAAAAGAAAGGCCAAGCAGAGTGTAACCCTCACCCCCTGCCAATAAACAAGAAAGAAGATCTGGTGGCAATGGATAAAGAGAAGGCTGAGGCCAGAGTCAGCCTGAGYCTCCAGAGTCCCTGAAGCTGCAGGTGGTGATGGGGCAGTGAAGTCTCTCCCACTGTGAGTGAAGAGCAGGTCTGACCCCAGTTGATGAAGCTGAATAGACAAAAGTCTGTGGGACTGGATGACATCCATCCCAGAGTCCTGAGGGTCTGGCTGATATTGTCAAACCATTCTCCATCATATTTGAAAAGTGATGGGATTCAGGTAGAATCCTTGGTGAATGGAAGAAGGAAAACATCACCCTTATTTTTAAAAAGAGGAGGAAGGRAGATCTGGGGAACTACAGAGCAGTGAGCCTCACCTTTATTCCTGGGAGGATCATGGAGCAGATCCCCATGGAAGAAATGCCAAGGCACGTGCAAGGCAAGAAGAACCGAGACAGCCAGAATTATTTATTCCTGGGAGGATCATGGAGCAGATCCCCATGGAAGAAATGCCAAGGCACGTGCAAGGCAAGAAGAACCGAGACAGCCAGAATGATTTTGCTCAGGGCAGATCATGCCAGACCAGTCTGATGGCCATCTGTGGTGGAAGGATTGCAGCCATCCGCAAGGGGAGACCAACAAATGTCACATATCTCGACTTCCTTAAGATYTTTGACATGGTCCCACRTGGCATCCTTATCTCCAAACTGGAGATACACAGGTTTGAAGGGTGRACTATWTGRGAAATAGCCTCACAGACAGACACTTGTGGTCAATGKCTCTGTGTCCAGTGATAACYGGAGGCCAGTGATAACTGGTGTCCATCAGGGCTCTGTCCTGGGACCWGTCCTTTTTAATAACTTTATCAACAACACTCTCAGCAAGTTTGCAGATGACACAAAGCTGAGGGGTGCAGTTGGCACAACAAAAAGATGGGATTGCACCCTGAGGGACCTGGACAAACTTGAGCTGTGGTTCCATAGTTAYGTCATGAAGTTCAGCAAGTCCAAGTGCAAGGTGCTGCACCTGGGTCAGGGCAGCCCTAGACATGAGCACAGACTGGGCATGGTCRTGGGATGGGAGCACCTCTCCTATGAAGACAGGCTGAGAAATCTGGGGGTGTTCATCCCAGAGAAAAGAAGCGACTCCATAGAGACCTCATTGAGGGCTTCCAGGTCTAGAAGGGGGCTTACAGAAACAACAGGAGCAACTTTTTAAGTGGGCAGATAGTGAGAGGACATGGATGGAATTAAAAAAGGATTGAATTAAAAGAGGAGAGATTTAGATTAGATGTTAGGAAGAAGTTCTTTATTGTGAGGGTGACAAGGCAGTGAAACAAGTTGTCCAGAGAGGCTGAGGATGCCCCATTCCTGGCAGTGTTCAAGGCCAGACTTGATGGGACTCTGAGCAACCTGTTCTAGTGGAAGKTGTCACTGCCCATGGCACAAGGCTTGGAATGGGATGATCTTTTATGTACCACCCAGCCACAGACTTCCTATGATTCTATGATTCTATGATCAATGCCTTGAGACRCAATCAATCATGTGATAGATAAATACAGGCTACAGGTGAGAGTTGGGCCAGCATCACAGCAATCATCAAAATGCTCACCAAGATCTTTAGTTGCAATGTTACTGACCAGTGAAACCGGAAGGAGATAAAATTCTTCAGGAGGTATCTAGGAAAAATATTTGCAAGTGACTGCATGAACCATTCTCCAGGTACAGAGACTTCTCACCATGAAAGGGCAATATTTATCTTTTCTAAAAATGCATACAACAGACCCACTGCTGATTGCAAAAGATTCTTTATTGGCACCAATKCAAACTGGATTACAGACAATGGCAGAGGCCATTCATGGGGCAGGAGAACAGTGTAAGGTGGGATAGAGATGCACAGATCTGCAGTGCAGCAGAGAGCTCTCACACTCGGTGGTCCTGTGACACTGGGGAAAAGTGACACAAGCAGAGACAGAGAACGAGGTCTTCAAATTTCTTGCTGGGGCTGCACCTTTTCTCAGCGTTGCAGGATTTGCATTCTAGCAGCCACAGCCAGGGCGAAGGGGACGCAGGAAGGAGAGCTTGTCATTGAACTTGATTGCCTTGTAATTTGGCAGGTGTTCGTGTTCTCGTGCAATGTACTGAAATCCACCTCCATCGCTGTCCTCACACAGCAGCCAGACACCTCTCTGGACTTTGTGTGAAGATGTGCTGTTATTGTCATGTCCCCTAGCTAGGTTGGTTGCCTCTGTAATTACCCTGGCCTTCCCTTGGTAATCAGCATGTTCATAGAGAGTGATCTGGGGATGGTGCAGATTTTCAGTGATCAGCTGCAGAGAGCTGATCCTGTCATTCATCTTTTTGCCAACAAATTCGTGATCTCCCTCCTCAAGTACCAGTAACTGTCCTCTATAGTTTTCATGCTGATAAGCCACCCAAGGCTGGCCRATTACTCTCACTGAGGAGATACARTCATTCCAATCTACRTCTTTYAGRTTGGCAATGTTGGTRTGGAATTCTTTGGACATACCCTCAAAGTTAGCATGTTCATAAATGATGATTTTCCCCATCTCAGCAGGGCTTCTGGAGTTCAGATTTTCTGCTATAGGGATTGGATGGCAGCCTGCAGAAAATGAACAGAAAACAAGCAATGCTTGCAAGAGGCCTTTACATAACAGACACAAAATGCTGGAGACYAGAGGGGATAAAAGGTAAAAAAGAAATGTAAAACATATTCAGCAGAGGATATTTAGCAGAGGATAAACAGCAGCTGTGAAAGAGTGAGGATATGACTTATAAATCTGAATTTGGAGGAAAAATGTAAGATGAGATATGTACACCACAACCATCTAGTTTCATTTAATTGTGTATGTTTGCTTATGTATACGTGTAAGGGACACCTGAGCATTTTGTTTAACATCTTACTGGCATAACCTAAATAATAATGAAATGAAATATACAGCCAGTGATAAATCTTTCAATTGATAATTGACATTGCAATTGAGAATTACTTCAGAAAGTGGCACTCACTATTTGGACTAAGTTTCATGATCCACATAGAACGCAGTATAAAAGCAGTGAGACATACAATTAATTTCTAAAAGAAAGTGCATTTTTTTACTTAAAATGGAGGAGGCTATTTTTAAGGGGAAAAATTAACTTTGAATTCCTCTGTTTATATGAAATTTTACTGAAATAAAGAAATTCCTGCTCTTGTCATACACTGAGAAACAATCAAGAGCTAAGCATCAGYTCTTTAAATCAGACTAAATTTCAGGTTATGAAAATATTTTTCTAACACTACTACCAATGCACATATCTAGTTCCACACAGTCATCTGAGCTCAGTTAAAAAGCCACAGCGTTTATTAGGAACAGCTGCAGGAATAGTAATGAGCAACCAGTTGGGGTAACAGCTCCCTCTTTAAATAATGTAACAACTACTGAAGCAAAGATTCAGATCTCAGGGCAGATACATATGGGACAAAAGAAGCCATTCCTCTAGCTGATTCTGAGAAGGGATGGGAGAAGACAGGTATGCCCACTAAGATTAAAAGCCATACTAATACTCAAGAAGTGCATCATAATTAAAAAACCTGAATCACTTAAACCTCAATTAAAAAAAAAAAAAAAAAAAAAAAAAAAATAAAAAAAAAAAAGTGATTCTTCACAGTTATAAAAGCATTTTTGGAAGCTGAGGAAACCTGAGCTTGGACTTACTGACTGGTTAAGCACTATTATGATGACTTTCTACTTGTAGAAAAAACATTACTAGTGACTCATTTCATTTTACTGATACAACATAAAGATCCCTTGACCAGGATAAATCTGTAAAATATTTTCACTTTTGCTYCTGAGAATTGTGTGTCACTGGCCCCCTCCACCCTCTCCCTTGCTAAGCTTTGTTTCTCCTGCAGCAGCCTCTCCCCAGCCCCTGCAAGGTGGGTTCAGTCTCTGCCCATGCACTCAGCAGACCCTCCCGTCCGTGCTGCTCCTCTCATCCCAACACTAAAGCCTCCTTCCCTTCCCCTGCATTCCACAGCAGCTGSCCCAGAACCCGTTGCAGTTCTCCTGCACAAAGTGTGTCTCTCACCTTGCTGTCAGCTGCAGGGCTGGGCAGAGCTGAGGGCGATTCCTCCAGTGCAGGGCTGCAGTTTGGGGAAGGTGTCTCACCTGCCCCCATTTATACTGGCTCTGGAGTCTTGTGCAACACCCCAGYCAACAGAACTSAGAAATGGCCAATAAGTGAACAAAAATCATTAACTATTATATTTTAATTTTGATTTATCAACCAGCCTTGTTATTGCTCTGGGTCGAAAGTCTGTTGAAGTGTAAGTCCTTGATAAAACATTAGAACTTTGATTCTTGGTTGTCTTTCTCAGAAGCCAGATGAATCACAGTAATAAAAAACTTATCCAAGTACTTTATGACACACAGTATGTAGAATTTTTCTGCCTGTTGCAGTTTACCTTTTGTTTACCTTCGAAGCACCTATAATAAATAGTGTTAATTTTCCAACGAGCTTTTTTGGGAGATGTCCACTTGACAGACGTGGCATTTAAGTAGGGTTTTRTTAAATTSCCTWCCTCTTTCTCACCTATGTAGCCATTTGAACAGCTACAGGAGTGCAGAGCTGCYAAAGTAGGGCCAGAAGGCTCTGGCAAAGCTGCAATGACAATTTTTTTTTCTTTTTTCCTCATTGTAGGTTCACTTTGTAATAYATTTTCAGACAGGTTCCTTGGCTARCATGCCTGAAAGCCATTCTGAAGCAGGAGAAAGCAACAGGATCTTCCTTATTTCATTTGAGGCACCTCTGGTCTGTCAGGTAGGAAATAACTGGAGAAGATGGGGAGCTGGGAAGRAAGGCAATTCATCCCTGCAAACCAAGCAGCCTGTGCACCAGCTCCAGCCAAATCCTCRTGCTGTATCTCTTTCAGGGGTGCTTGGCTGAACCCATGGTGTGCCAGGTCACAGAACCAAGCCAGCATAAAAACACTTGAGGCTTTGGGTTTTTTTCCATGTGGCCCATTGGTTTGCTCCCTGCAGAGGCTGGAAGCAAATGGAAATTTGCATTTTGGGGTTTTGAAGAAAAACAGCCCCTCATTTTACAGCAACAGCTAGATGAGAAGTCCTTCTCTGGACAGGCAATCCACACCTTTAAGATGTGATTTAGTGTGTTGCAGTGACCTCAATCTACAGTTCAGTGCTGCTGGGACGGAGAAAGCCCCATTCCACTCCTGAACCATTGTGCCTCCTCTCTGGTAAGAAAAGGGAGGAAGAATGAGCACACCAATGTGAGGAATGCTTGAAAGAGGGACTAAACCAACCTGAAATAACACAAATTTATGCTTTCATTGAAACACATTCATTCTTCTTAGCTTGCTAGCATGTTTTATTCTTTAAATTATTTAGTTGTGTTTCTGGAAAAAAAAGTTATGTGTAATGATATAATTAATAATGAACTAAGCACTCCCACCTTTCTCAGCACCTGCAAACTCAGAAAAGCCCTTTGGCCAAATGTATGAGCCACGAAGGCATCACAAAGACTGAGTCTATCTTAACTACAGTGCACAGTGAAGCAGCCAAGAGTGAACGCTGAAGTCATCCACATGCTCCCTGCAGCACCAAAGCTGGCAGCRGGAATTTTCATGGCTTCAAGGAAAACCAAAAGGCAATGTATGATGGGACGTGCTGCTATAAAAACGTGGTAAAGGATCTCTGTACAAATACTCACACAAAGAAATTAGTTCCTGGTTCTGATTGACCATCTGTCTTAGTGTTACTGGATTAAAAACTAAGTGGATTTTAATGTTGTTAATCTCATCTATATGGGGCTTTTTGCACAAGGAAGGAAGTCACTGAACAAAGCAGAACACCACAGGGTGGGGTTAGGGGGTTGATATTGGAAATATTTATGGAGTTTTCTTTGTGGGTTGGGTTTGTTTGCTTTTTTTCCTTATGGATCACAGAATAGTATGGGTTGAAAGGGGCCTTAAAGATCGTCCAGTTCCAACCTCCCTGCCAGGGGCAGGGACACCTTCCAACTAGACAAGGTGCTCAAAGTCCCATCCAACCCAGCCTTGAACTCTTCCAGGGATGGGGAATTCACAGCTTTTCTGGGCAACCTGTTCCTGTGCCTCACAATCCTCACAGTAAAGGATTCTACCTAATATCTAACCTAAACCTGCCCTCTGTCAGCTTGAAGTCATTTCCCCTTGTCCTCGCACTGTGTGCCCTGGTTGAAAAATCTCTCTCCTGCTGGGGATTATTTTATTTCTTTCTTTCTTTGTTTAGAGACTGTTTACTACTAGATTGCAGGGTGATAAAACAATTTCATTTAAAGSTGTGGATGTCATATACACACCCACTTTACAATGCTGGAAAAGGTAAAATGGTAGAAAATCTAATTAACAACAAACTCCTTCACCCACCAAATCCTGTTTTGTTCCTATTCTGCTCTGTCACAGTGGATACCTTAGTTTGTATCTCAGTAATCACTCACCTGTTTTTATTCCTTACTTTAAAACAAAAAGATTTAAAAAAAATAAAATCACACATGAACTACACCTCCCCAGTTTCTTGTTGCTATTTTTGCCTGATAGTTTTGGACTCAAGGCAGCAGAACATTGGTTTCTTTGTTTTGGAGGGGTTTTTGCAGTTGGAGAGAGTGACGGTTTTGGGTTTTACTCACTTGGCAATTGTTAGGACAAGTAACTTAATTCTTCATCACAAAGTTTCCTTCCCACTTTTGGCTCTCAGACTTCTGTTTCTCAAACAAAACTGTCCCCAAAAATACAGTGTAGGAGCATGCAGCTGGAGCACTCAACCCCAAGCTGTGAACAGGCCACACACTCATAAATGCATTCACCACCAAACCCTTGGAGGATGGGAGAAGGCCTTTTCTTTTTTTTTTTGCCTAGCACATACCCCATACAAACTCCCCTTCTTTTTCTTTCCTGTTTACTGCATTTCCTAGTTGCAACTGATCAGTAAAGCAAACTGAATACCACTTTTTCAGCAAAAAGAGAGATGATAGAATCCTATGGAATGAGTGTTGCATATTTAGTCACAACACAAGGAGTGAGCTCCACAGAAGTTGTGCTGGGAAGAGAGGCACAGCAAATACAGACTGACAAGTTGCCCACTTGACAACATACAGACGAAAAAAAGTAAAGTGAAGATCTTTTCTAACTCTTATTTCCTTTTCTATGTCTCTTCTTCCCAGATAAAGGAAAAGGTAACAGTTTGTCTGTGTAGTAATTGTTAGTTCAAAAGGTCAGAAACCCAGCTGGGTTGTCTTCTGGGTGTTTTAATAAATGTACAAATGGGTTTCCCTTGAATAGTTGCAAACCTGGACTCCACAAACACAAAGACCCATGCTCAGTACCAGGGAGAAGCTGGGGGAAGGCATCACACACCCTCAGACGGTCCTAGCTTCATAGTACCAAATTTTGTCTTTACAGMTACACATTTAGAAAATTCATCCAGCATTTTGCTCCTTTCGTGTTTAATTAGCAAGTTGTGCTTCTAAACCCTTGAGTCCCSGTCCAAGCATGTGTGACAGACACGGACCTGCCCTCGACTAAACACTAGGTGTCACTTCTGCTTCAGAAATGCAGCAGAGCAATGAAAACGCTTCCCAAAAACCCCAACCCACCCGGCAGCAGATTTTTTCAGGGGACCTCTGTACCTACAACTCTTCCTAAAGTCATAAACAGCTGCAGAGTTTTAAAATGTTACATGTCTTAAACTGTTGTAGGCATGTAAAAAGCATCAGAAAATATCAGACAGTGCTTTGCTGTACTCAGCATGGCAGTGATAGATTCTCTTCTCTCGTGTGGGTGCAAAGGAACATTTACCTACATAATCAAGGCATCATCACCTGAAGAAACTGCCAGMGTCTGCTCTGGCAAAGARGTCAGAGAGCTGCTGTGCTGCTYTCAGCCCTTCCTTGCCTGCCAAAAGACTTCTGAGCATCAGGGGCCAACTCAGAGGTGAGAAAGTGGCAGAATGTTTGTGGTCAGGGCTCTGAGGCAGGCTAGGACATGGGAGAAGTACTGGCAAAAATATAGGAAAAATGAAAAAGACAGAGGAAAGGAAAGGGATCCCCCTGGGGACACATGGACTGTAGTAGGACCATTTGCTACATCTTACGGGACCTCAAACGGGAGAACCCAAAGACAGAGACAGCATGGTTAAAAAACAAAAGAAAATACTTTAGGTATTTAAACACAGTTCTCGTGTGCATCCACAAGATGTTGTAAAGACAAAAGGCAGCATGTGGTTTAAAAATCAGCAAGTAACAGGCAGAGAATAAATTCACCAAAGGCTCGGAAAAAAAAAAAAAACATACTGATGCAACTTTTAGGTCAGGCAGTATTTCAAACAGCAGATTCCTAGAGAATATGAGAGTAGCCACTATCTGCTTGCCCTTTCGCTCTTTCCATGAAGACCCTCTTCAGGTCACCACCCCTAGGGCTTTCCTCTAGAGCAGGACATGTCTGAGAGCCTTCCAGACTTGAAGGACTTCAGCACACACAGGCACAACAGGCTGAAGCCTGAAACCCAAAACATGAGCTCAGAGGGCTGCARCTTGAGAAAACTCAGAATCATGAGAGTCAGCAGCTCAAGAGAGGAAACTGCAGTGGTGAAGCAGTATAAACAAAGACAGCACAACCACATCCTTGGCAAGGATGGAAGCTAATGAGGAGCACTGTGGCTAGAGGTTCAAGGAGCTCAAAGCATATTTTCATTTTCTGGCTGGATGTTAAAGCTATCACCAAGAGATTCCATGAATTCKCATGGTCTTAAGGAGCAAATAAATAAAAAACTGAAGGAAGAAATATAGCACAAACACATCAAAAATGTGATGGRAAAACATACACTGAATTATCCTGAGAGAGAACAATTTACAAGGGAAAGCGAACAAATGGTAASAGCCCACTCTACCTGCAGGGACAGGTGGAAATGTGTGATAGGGAAGGACACCAAGCACAAAGGCAAGAGGTTAGAACAAATGGCAAGGGACATTGAGGCAACTAGAAAAACCAGGAGAGGAGAAGCATTAATGAATCCAGAGGATGAGAAAAAGGAAAGGCCAAGCAATAGTAATGGGAATATGAAGATACAGGAATGTGGTGCACCAGAAGCAAAGGAAATCAGTGGTGAGAACAACAGCAGAGA